GACCATACAAGTCTGTGCTATGGAGATATGCTTTAAACCTTTCTCAGTTTAGAGTTAGAGTAAGCAGATTAAAAACATTCAGTCTATGTGGTAAAAGAGCTCTATACAGATGCAGAACAGGTTTCAATCACTAAGGAAAGTTCTGTTAGGGCGTAACAGTTGTGTTGCCAATCTAAATGCTACAGTGTATTTGGCAAGGAGAGTTGTGACAGTAATGTGCAATGTCTGGGATCTTATTGAAGCCACCCAACAAAATGTAATCAAATAAGGATCCGTAAAGAAACCCAACAAGCACAACAGTAAGTCCAGCACTGGCTACAGACCTGCATTTGACAGTCAGACATAATCAACCAGGTCAACCACATTTGAATGTTAAATTAACCAGACAAAAATTCCAGGGTAATACCATAACATCATATTTATACTTTATTTATTACAGCATTGTACACTCTCAGAAAAAAGAGGACAAAAGCAATCACTGGGGCATTACCTCTTCAAAAATACATCTTTGTACATTATTTACCCCTAAAAAGTGAATATTAGTACCTAAATGTAGTGGTCGACCGATATTGGTTTTTTTGACAGCCGATGCCGATATCTTGGAAAGCAGGGTGGCCGATATAAAGCCGATATAATTGTATTTATTTTATTTAATATTTAAGAAATTTGAAATAATTTGGAAATGAATTAAAAAAATAAATGTGTAAAATAAACATGCTTATACTTTAAATGACAAAGTATTTTTCACAAATAAACAAATATTTAATAAAAATATCATTAAAAAGGAAGTAAACACTGTAACTAACAGGGCACTCAGTATTCTGGGAAGTTTGTGTGCATTGGGAATCACATTTTTTCAAATAAAGCCAAGTTTGAAATGAAATTACGAGTTTGAAGTTTGTCGATCGCGCGTCTCAATGAAGCTGAACTGTCCTCCTGTCCGTATTCAATTCACACGGACCGACCTTCACGCAGAGTACACGCGATCATGCAGGATACACATGCACACTTCATAAGATCTCACAGCTGGATTTGACTAAGTTTGCAAGGTTTTTGAAATTAGATGTTCATTAGTCATTCAAAGATTTGTATAAATTATATAAATGCGTATTTGCTGAATGCTGATGGCAAACGATAAAGTATTATCATATTTACCTTTCTATTACTAACAATATATAAGCAATCGTTATAATACTTTTTTGCATACATTTTAATTCCTTTGTTTAACAGTTCTATCTGATTATTAGACAGACTTCTGCCCGTGGACAGAACTGTTAACGACGACAGCGAACAAGAGGGAGAATGTGAGCACTGTGTGCTCAGGTGCTGCCGTTCTCAGCGCCGTCAAAATAAAAGTCTCGCCACGAACGCATCGGCCGATATTTAAAAAATGGCAAATATCGGCCGATATATTGGCCTTGGCGATATATCGGTCGACCACTACCTAAATGGTACAATCAAAATAAAAGTCTCGCCACGAACGCATCGGCCGATATTTAAAAAATGGCGAATATCGGCCGATATATTGGCCTTGGCGATATATCGGTCGACCACTACCTAAATGGTACATATTAGTAACTTCTGAAAGGTTAACACCTCAGCGACTGATATTGTACCTTTTTCCTGAGAGTAAATAAATTAGCCAACACATCAAAAGAAGAAAAAAAGGCAGTTTAATTACATTTTATTTCTACAATTACTGAACAAGTACTTATTTAATTTAAAGGGGACATAACACACACAGTTTCACCCAATCTCATGTTAATCTTGAGTACCTATAGAGTAGTACTGCATCCTTCATATCTCCAAAAAGTCTTTAGTTTTATCACATTTATAAAAGAAAGATAAAGCTTTACGATTCTCTCTGAAAAAAGACGAGCTCCTGGAGCCGCACCGTGGGCGGAGCTAAAGATTGACGAGCACTTGTGCGCCGAATGCCAACAAAACAGACATTTGATGCAGTTTCACTTACTGTCTGCAGTTCTGAATCATGACCAGGATCTTTTATAGCTGGGACCGCTCCATCCTTCAGTATCAAACGATATGCAAATCCAGCGTCGAACTGGGCCTTGTTTATAAAACGTCAACAAACACGCTTGTGAAACTGCGTTGCTGCTCCGGAAAAACAAACTGCATCCACTGTTTACATAATGTTGGGTTCTTTAGGAAGCTGAACAAAGTTATCTTTCCCTTACAAACAAAAACACACTTCAGAGACATTCTTCCCGAGCAAGTCCCGTGCTCTTGCTCTCGCTCTGGTCGATGTGCGTGCAGGAGCGCTCTTCCGGGAGAAATGCCCATATAAGGAGTTCCACCCTCGTTTACGTCATAAAGAGCCACAATCTAAAAAAAACTCTCTGAAACTTGTACGAACCCGGAAATAAGATTTTTAGCACAGAAATACTCCGTCATACGTCCAAATTTTTTTTATTTTATTTTGTTCATGCTTGGCATGAGAATCCAACTCTTTAACAGTGTAAACAACTCTGAATGCATGAAACAGCATTGTTTCAACCCCCCCCCCCCCCCCCCCCCTTAAAACATATAAAAGGCAACATACCGAAATATTAAAACAGTGTTCTGGCTATCAAAAAATAAATAAAGTAAATTGCATAATAAAAGTAACACATTTAACAATTAGCACCAATGTGACATTTACAAATTACTTTTGTCCTGAGAACACAGTTCAAGCTTTCTGTTAAAACCTTCCATTAAGCCTCTATCTGCTTAAAGTTAGAGTAAGATTAAACCATTTCAGTCTATGTGGTAGAACATATCTAGGTTACACATATGCAGAACAGGTTTGAATGACAAAAAAAAAATTGTACTTGAAAATCTTCCTTAAATATTTAGTTGACCCTTTCCCATGGCAGTATTATAGTCCTATGAGGACCCTGTATACCTGTATTTGGAGGTCCCCTTCACCCCTAACATCCCCCATAGCAGATGCCATCCTGCTTTAAGCAGCAATTGTAATTTGTATAAAACAATAAGGGAATGTGTGCTGTTGTAGGCTGACATCTGAAGACTAAAAACAACCAGTGGCTGGTCAGCTTGCGTGCAGTACCTGTTCAAGTGATCTATAGCTCATGCTAGGCAGAGGCGGCTCTAGTGGGTAACATGCACTGCATGTCTTGGGGGCCCCTGACAATCAGAGGCCCCGGGCCCCTGTTGCTCATTCGAATATCCAGTCCTGGTCTGGTCAGTTCACTTGATAGCCAACAGTTATAGTTCTTGTTCTTGGAGAGAGAAAACTATGATATGCAACCGTAAACAAGTAGTTCACTCAAAAATGAAACATTTTTGCTGAAAATGTGCACACCCTCAGGCCAAGATGTAGATGAGTTTTTTAGTTCGTTTGAACAGATTTGGAGAAATTTAACATTACATTACTTGCTCACCAATGGATCCTCTGCAATGAATGGGTGCCGTCACAATGAGAGTCCAAACAGCTGATAAAAACATCACAATAATCTACAAGTAACTGAAACGACTCCAGTCCATCAATTAACGTATTGTGAAGTGAAAAGCTGTGTGTTTGTAAGAAACAAATCCATCATTAAGGTGTTTTAACTTTAAATTGTCGCTTCTGGACAAAATACGCGAGCCATACTAACATTTCTTGCTTGATCTGTGCATATTTCTCCCCTGATTTGGACTATATTTATTTATAGAAACCCAACAAAAGCATACAAGTCCCAAACTGGCTACAGACCAGTATTTGATGCTCAAACATAATCAAACCAAAATTAGCCAAAATTACAATAAAATAAAATAATATGAAAAAATATGAAAAAAATACAAAGTTATTATCAATCACAAAACTATTTTAAAACAGCAAACATACCAAACATTTTTTTGATATGACATGATGACAGAATTGACAACAAATGATTCCAGTTTAAAGAAGGTTTGGGGCATCTGAAACCAAAATACAAAACCACTGACAGAGAAAACACACACACATAGACCTAGTGACAACTAGCCCCATTCTGCAGTATTCTGAAGCTGAGCATAACTAGGACAAATAGAAATTCCCACAACTTTTCAAGGCATGGAAATCACGATTTCACAATTCCGCGTTGGTTTTCCACCAACATGGGCTCCGTGTAAGCAGTGCATCCAGAGCCACAGAGGCAGACTTCATCAGCACCGGGCGAGCAGAACCACACCCACAGCACCAGCCATCACACAAAGTTATTATTATCAACTATTTTAAAACAGCAAACATACCAAACATTTTTTTGATATGACGACAGAATTGACAACAAATTATTCCAGTTTAAAGAAGGTTTGGGGCATCTGAAACCAAAATACAAAACCACTGACAGAGAAAACACACACATAGACCTAGTGACAACTAGCCCCATTCTGCAGTATTCTGAAGCTGAGCATAACTAGGACAAATAGAAATTCCCACAACTTTTCAAGGCATGGAAATCACGATTTCATAATTCCGCGTTGGTTTTCCACCAACATGGGCTCCGTGTAAGCAGTGCATCCAGAGCCACAGAGGCAGACTTCATCAGCACCGGGCGAGCAGAACCACCCCCACAGCACCAGCCATCACAGACCCACTGCAGCTCAACATCTCCGAGCATCAACCCCAGCTCAACACATCGAACAACCCGCCGGGTGACTGACAGCGCCGCGACATCATGCCCGACAGCCGAACGATGAAAGAGAATCGACACCAATCAAGCGTGTTTCATCTGGAACTACACCGTTTACAAAGCATCAGGAGGACAGCTGTATCTGTGACATTACCCAACACACTGCTATCTAATATGCTTATGATGATGAAAGGGATGAGCGCCGGTGTATAGGATCAATAACTCTCTCCGGTGAAAGTGATGAGACAACCATTCGCATTAAATTATTCACTTATTGTATAACAATGAAATACCACATAGCAGTGTGTATGCTGGCGAATCAAATGGAGCCGTGCAGTGATCCCGGTTATAAATGAACAGTTGCTCGTATGACCCCCAGTAACTTACCGTGAGCGTCTCAGGTGTCCGCGGTCCAGCAGGCCGAAAATGTGTCCTTAATTCCGCTCTGTCCGGGGAAACACGCCTGGCGACGGCATCTCGGGAGTGGAGGTGAGGGTGGTGTGTGTTGATGCTGTTACAGTGGTCTCCACTACACACACATGCAAGAGAAATCCGACCGACGGCGAATTTTCGAATCCTACTACTGTGCAGGTCTTCATGAGCAACGCTCTCGCTATTGGAAGGGAGCGATGCAGCGTCAACAGTGTATAATTAATATATATATAAGGCAAGCAATAGGAATTGGAACGTATTAACACACGTCAGCTGTACATAACTAATATTCATAAACTAAGCCTTAGATCTGTAATTTAGCAGACCACATCCACGCCCACAGTGAAGAACCTGAAGAAAGCCTCACTATCAGATACAAATGATAGTGCTGTATTTAATTATGTTATGTTAATTGTAACTTAAACTGTAATCGCTATACATTGTGTGCATTGTGATGTGGATACCCTAGGTTTAATTGTTTTTCAGTAATGATAATAATAGTTATTATTAATAATAATAATAATGAAAAATAAAAATACATAAAATCAAGTGTAAAAATTGAAATAAAATTAAACTCTAATAAAAAAAATGTATAATTTATTGATATATATATATATATATATATATATAGTTATTTAATAAATGTTATTATACAAACAAAACAAACACACTTATTATAAGAGACAACTTACAATAACAGTTCTTTCTGATATTGGTTGTTTCAAATAAGTTCCCAACTGATTAACTCAGGTAATAAGTCATAAAAGTATAGGGAGAGAGGAAAATGTGATTTCAGCATGAATTGATGAAATAGTTATAGTGCAGGCAAAGCACCACCAACCGCTGCCATGTAAGGAGGAGGGGGGAGCGTGGGGTTGACAGTGGGTCTTTGCTGAGTGAAGTGGAAAATCAACCTCAGCCTCAGAAACATCACTAAAGTGCCATCATTCTGACCTAGATTTCCTTGTCTGCTTGCCTCTCGGTCTCTCCTTGTATATGTTGAAGTGTGGTTAAACACAGACATTACAGCATGCATGATTAACACCATATGCGGGCACTACCTCAGGCCCAACTCTCTCTCTGTCTCTCTCTGTCTCTCTATCTCTCTCTCTCTCTCTCTCTCTCTCTCTCTGTCTCTGTCTCTCGCTCTCTCTGTCTCTCACGCGCTCTCTCTCTCTCTGTCTCTCTCTCTCTCTCTCTCTCTCTCTCTCTCTCTCTCTCTCTCTCTCTCTCTCTCTCTCTCTCTCTCTCTCTCTCTCTCTGTCTCTCTCGCGCTCTCTCTCTCTCTGTCTCTCTCTCTCTCTCTCTGGATTTTTGTCTTTTCACTTCTTGGATTGGAGGATAAAATAATGAAAGTATGACAAGAAAAAAAATTTTTTTTTTCTATTATCTGGCAAGAACAGTAATCTCGCAAATGGGTGAGAGACAGATGCAACGCAATATGTACAATTAAATTATAAGTCCTACATCTGAGTATTTGATATTGTATACACAGAAGTCTCAGATAAACTCTTTTTTTAATTTCTTCTAAAATGCTCTTAATAATGCACTTATTGCACAAAATCATGTTATTGTTACTGCATAAATATTGAATTATCATACTGGTTTAGGTAAGTATAGTTATGATGCTAAAATGTTTTAGTAAGCACTCATACTATGTATTTCTAAAACACAGTTTGGTTGATACACAGAGAAATAAACTCTTCATCACTATTACTTTTAGATTGGCCAGTCAACAGTATTCATAAAATGGGGTGACTTACACAGATTTATTAATTTTGCTTGTGTGGTTGGGTAGTTCACAGGCAGTGACAACACAGTGTGGCATCCTATACTCCATTTAGAGTCATTAAAGGGCATTTTACTAATTTATTTATATCCATGCAGATTTTTTAAATCATATTAATGGAGAGACTACATGCATGTACTTTGAAAAATAATAATTTATGTAAATAAAAATGGTCAAATTTGTGAAAGAAATGTCATTTTCCTCATACATGATTAAAGTTGTGGTGGGAAAAAAAACTCAGTGTGTGAAACTCATAACAAGCTCATTATCTTAAACCTGCATTACTCAACGAAGCTTGTAAAGTGTGTGTGTGTGTGTGTGAACCTTCTGATCAGTTAAACCCTGGTACAAAGTCCAACTCGAATGAGGCATGACTGATCACTTTTCATTGTCCCTGTTGGTGAACTTGAACACAGTAATGCTTGCCCATGAATGTTAGATCGAAAACTACAGAAACCCCAAGTGAAAAAACAAATCCCAAAATCCCTTTTCTGATCATCATGCCATCTCAGATGCCATTATTTTCTCTTTTTCTTTTTTTAAAGATTGGTGGGAATCTCAAATTCATGCACCATGTCTTCACACTTCACTGGTTGATATGACACTTGAAAGAGATTAAGTAAAGAGTGCTAAGAGAAATATACGGCCCTGGAAATGTGGTGAGTAAATGTGTCTTAGTTGTGCATCATATACAAGGGAAAGCAATCATATAAGAGAAGAGCTGCTCTGGATTGTCTGTTCAGTAATGCAGCAAGCTCTGTTCCCATGGTTACAGCACACATTCCTCATCAGCTGAAGATCATGCACTGCACACACTCACATACTAAACACTATGCTCACAAACAGCCCTCAGTTTAACATGTTTAACTCCTGTCCCTGTTTGTTGCTTGTTGTGATAAAATCAGATCAAATTAAAAAGTATGGATTCTGATGCATTTTTGCTTTACATAATGCATGGAGTAATAATTCCAAGCAGTTTTATGAATTTACAATTACAAACATTTTAAGTTTTGTAAATGCTTGAGATTAGCGTGGTCAGCAAATGTAAAATTTTGCCAACTACAAAAAAAAGAAAGAAAGTGTGAACTAAAACTTATGGATAAATACTAATATATGTGTTAGATTTGTGTTCATACTTTTGATGATTTTAATATAGTTATTTTATATATACAGTATATATATATATATATATATATATATATATATATATATATATTTATATTAATAAAATAAATGATGTTTCCTTTAGGTACAAACGTTTATTTACAGAGTGATAAAAAAAGCACAATGTCATCTTATTATGGAAGAAAAATAATGACAAATGTCTTGTATGTATATGAGAACAGTATGCAAATTTATGAAATGATGTTGCTGCTGCCATCTGTGTTCTTGTGCAATGGTTTTTATAGCACCTGGTGGTTAACTGGTCTATTCAATTCAAATCAAGCAAATAAAGATGTTTATGCATTTAATGGAACAAAGTGCTTTCCATTCAAATGTGCAACTTCCTGTTTCAAGTTGTATTCAGGTTGAGGACTGTTATATTGAAGCTCTGTTCCTTTAAAAGCCTATTATACTAAAGTATTGACTTTTCAGTTCATTATGTTAAAATTACGTTTTAGAGACATTTTGGTACACCCCCTCTGAACAAATAATAATAATAAAAAAATCTTAATAATCAGCAATACGATTCATGGAAGGATAAGTATAGTGCTCTGACCTCTCTTTGCATTGAGTGTAAGTTAGTGGCAAATTGTCACATCTATCCTGTTTAACTCTGAGATCCTTAAAATGGGGAGTGTTGCTCAATTTGTCTCTACAAAATCCCCCACAGGTCCCCAAGAGTGTTAAGTTGGGTGAAATACTTCTCCACGTACAGAAGATTTTTAACATCGGGAAAACAAGGAGACAGGCACTTCTCACTGTACCCTAGCAAGTCCATTGTTTTTTAATCTCTGTGTTACTTTTGCTATATTTTCATATTTGGTATTCCTCTTGTACCACTGTCCACTTTGTGCAAAGAAAAAAATCTCAATGACAGTTATCTCTCAAGTGGTTCCATTGTTGTCAGCAATACGCCTGAGAAGGATTCCATGGGCTATGTAACACTTTTAATTGTCAAGAAAATGGCAAATAATAACATACTTGACTGCTGATCAAAAATTGCCTTTAACTTACACTGAAAATATTTTATTTTGTTATTTTTTATAACTTTCAGGAGGGTCTGCTCATTTTTGCAACACAATTTTAATCACTTTGATAAGAAAATCTTATTTTCCTGAGTAATTTTGACACGCTTATTTTGAAATCGATCAAGCAAAACTTGCTGGAACATTATACAGGTGCATCTCAATAAATTAGAATGTCGTGGAAAAGTTAATTTATTTCAGTAATTCAACTCAAATTGTGAAACTTGTGTATTAAATAAATTCAATTTGCATCTTCAACAGTTGTTGCTTCTTTAATCTAAAAAAGTGGAGTAATCACTGCTTTAAATGTTGTGTGAATTATAATGGTAGCAACGTAGTGAAAGGCAGGTTTATTTGCTGATATTAGTGTCCACTTACAAAGTAAGACTCACCTTCAAGAGCTTATCCTTGAATGTGACATCACTCACTTCCTCTAATGTTGCAGGGTGAGTAGGTTTACCACAAACCTGATTGAACAACCTCTCTGAGAAGAAATTCGGTGCCACACCTCCATGAATTACACACACAGATATCATCCGTGCTATCTGCATGTAGAATTTTCCTTCCAGGGCTGTAAACAGAATATATTGAATTACTATTATAGAACTTCCAATGCTAAATCTCTTGAGAAATCCCAGTAATTATCTCTGTAGATATGCCACTCTTATTATAAAACAGATAGTTCTGGTAACAGTGAATGTACAGTATTTAGAAATAACCATGAGTGTCGAGGGTCAGTCTCTTATCCGTCTCTGTTCCTTCAAATATGCTGGACTGCTGAATAGCCTTCATCAGCAACCTTAAATACTCGCGAGTGGGCCCACCACCATCTACTGCACCTTCAGGTGTTTGTTCACCGTCAACAAAAACTACATCCAATCTGGCCTCAGGATTGAAACGTCGCCTTCTGAAGGCCTGAAGTGTACTCCTCAATATGTTGTGAACATTTCCAGTGTAGTCTCTGCATATGTTGATGTGATTGCTAGTTGGACATGAACTGTGATCAATCTTCTCCCCAAGTTGGTTCAAAATGGTTCTAAGGTCAGTCCTGTACAGGAATAAAAAAAACAACAAGTAAAAAACATGAATTAGGAACATATCCGTTTTCTTTATAAATTTTTACATAATGTAAGTTTATAAAATAGTCAAGTCAAGTCAAGTCACCTTTATTTATATAGCGCTTTTAACAATACAGATTGTGACAAAGCAACTGAACAGCATTAATTAGGAAAATAGTGTCAATAATGCAAAATGACAATAGTAAACACTCATTTTTCAGTTAAAGACAGTTCATCATTGAA